AAATATGTAGCTCCAAAAGTTGTTTGGTGATCAAGAATATTAACTGTTTACTTTGCAAGCTCACCAGCAATGGTGCATCAAGCAACAATTACTAGCATAAGCCTACTGGTCGTTTGGTATGTCAAAATTGCTTGAAATTGATAATTTACTTATGAAGCTTGCATTTGGAATTTGTTGTTAAAATTAATTATTGCATAATTAACATGTGTTGTACACAAAATAATGAAAAGGGCTGTCTGGTTTATATTTGTAGTTGAACAAGTTATTGCCTGTATAGAATTTTCTTTACTTGACTTAGAATGCACAACTTGGACTTGACTCGAGACTCGACCCGTTCTACTTGTGACTCGACTTGAGACTTGGACCTTGACACTTGAGACTTGCTTGTGTAATAATGAATTGGTCCCACCTCTGCCCTGAGCAAGCTACATTTTGGACAGGCTAATTTGCTCCTAATATAAGCCTCTGTAGGGGATAGAACATTAAAATGTGACTTGTCATATGCCTTAGCTTGTCCGTGTACAAACACCAGTCTAATTCATCATACTGTATCAAGCAAACTAATCGTAGCACATTTAAGGATTTGTAACGAGTGTTCATAAGTCTCCTTGATTTTGAGCAGTGGCATATATTATTTTGGAACAAATATGTTGAAATGTAAGAGGGGAGGGTGCCAGCGGCAGTAAACATATATAGATAGGATTAAACTCAACTGGTGACCTAATTAAAAAACTGAAAACCTAATTGTGTTCGCACATCCAGCCAAAATGCAAAGCAAGCACTACACAAGGATTCTAGCAATATTTTCAAGGATTCTAGAAATTATATCTTTTCATTACCATTTACTAAACAAAATTGTAATAAAATCTATTTGAAACTAAGTCTCAATACTACGCAAGTGAAACAAGCCATAGCACAGCCAAAGCAACAAAAAATAAGAAAACCAAGCAAAAGTGTCAGATAGCACAAGACAACACAGAACATATCTCCTTTAAACAGCCATTGTGGCCTGAAGAGGAAAGCTTTTGTAGAGCCTCATGGAAAAGTACTGTAGTAACTACAAAAGCTCTCTTTGATAAACATAAACATCCTCCATGTTTCGGAACTTTGTTAGGTCATGCTTGTCCATTGTCAGTAAAAATACTGGATGGAATATCAATGGCATGATAAATACAGAGTGGGGGTATACTCCAATAGTACACAAAATACAACTCAGAATAACTTTTCTTGAAGGTCTAGAAGTCTACTTGGACCATCTTTCACACAACATACAGTGTGTACAGTTTGTGTGTGTGGAGTTAATTTTATATCACCACATAATGAGAACATTTTGAGAGTTTATGAAAGGCAAATTAATCCAATAGGGCCGTTTCTGAACCAGAGATGCATACGCGCAAACTTGAACAGACCTACATATCCTTCATGGAATCTTTGTGGAATTTCAAGGTTTCACACACATATCTCTCAAGTCAGGATATGGCCTGTACTTCATTAACAGCCAAATCCGAATTTGAGAAAAGCACACAGAACTTGAACTTTTTACGCAAACACCAATGCGTGATTTACACGAAACTTTGAGTTGTCGTGAAAGTTCAAGTTCAAACACACACGTACGTATCTCAGGTTAGGATTCCACCCTAGGTGTGTACTGTATCTTGTGGCAGAGTGACAACACACACTGGATATCAGTCAGTAACCGGCCAGTAACTCAACCCTGTTAATCTGTGGCGAGGGAAAGTCTCCTAACTTTCCAAAGCTTGTTACATGGCCAGAGGTCCTCAGGAAGACCGAGATGAGAAACAACGGTCTAATGTAGCCTTGAAAAATAGTGTTTCGTTTTCAGAGAGCGAGGGAGAGGGAGAGACAGTTAGAGAGAGGAGATAGGACCTGAGGGGAGACAGGCAAGGCATGCAAGTGTATCTGAGTTCTGACTGGATTAGGCCTGCTGGTTATGGATAAGGAAAGATAAATAAGTGGGGAGGATGAGGAAAAACTGCAAGCATGCCACGTTAGATGGGTACAGTAGTAGTAGTATGATATCCATAAAGGATCATGACGCAAAAGGGAGGGAGTTTGATAGGAAAGCCATAAGACTGAGGAGTTTATATAAAGTAGGGAGCTCTGGAGCTGCAGTGACCAGCAGTGCTTCCATCTACTGTACCATCACGGTTCCTGCCAACTCCGCTGCCCAACCAACCAACCCTCCCATCCACCCACCATGTGTCTTTCCTTCCCCCCGTCTAGGTGTATTCCAGACAGACTCTGTGCTTGTCCAATCTCACACTGTTCTGCCCTTTGGCTCAGGAGTGTGGCCAATGTAACGGCGCATCAGCAGATTAATTTCCAAACTTACGCACAGCACTTTGGAAAACAAGCGCCTCTTTTTTGGATGGGTTGGAATTATGTGATCGAGAGCAGTAAACATGAAGACTCCCATGCTGTTTCATTGTTTACCACAGGTGAGCACTCAATCCATGTTTTGAAACCTCAAACTGGAGACACTGCCTTTGCCTTGAAGAAAAAATACTCCTCATGACTCCATTTTGGAAACTGTGCTAGAATGGATAGCAACACTCTCACTATTCCCCATCCTAGCTGAAGAGCTTTTCGTGTAATGTTTATGGGTTAATGGGGTTATTATAATATGGTTAAATGTTAGAACTTTGGTTAAAATATTTGTCCAAATCAAGCCCAAATCCACATTAACGATTTTGTACCAGACAAATGACTTGACATTTATTTTCACCTCAAATAAGCACGGATGTCTTGTATGAATATTTATCTCAGATGAAATTCCTTTGCCACGTCTGGAGCAAACTGAATCAGCTGGGGAAGTGACAAAAGCCTGTAGAATACCTAACCATTACAACATCATTCAATCAATTCTGTGAGGGGAGACACACCATGAAATGGTGATGTGTGTGTGAACCCAAAGGACTAAAAAGCTTTTGTTCCTCAGCAAATCTTTTGAAGTAGATGCTAAAAAGAGTGGGTACATTATGGATCTATAACAATTGCATAAGGAAGAGGAATAAAAAAAATTGAATTGCCCTCAGGCTTGTTCGTGAAGGTGACTTGAAGGAGCTGCTCCATTTTATCACAAATTCCCTCCTCCTCCGCCTCCTCCTCCTCCTCCTTTTTACTACCGTAAAACAGTTTAGAAAGAGACGCTTGGTTCAAAGTGCTGCTCAAATCATAGGTTTCCCCTATGCTCATAGCCATTAAAAGCCTGGATGTGTTTTATATATATATATATATGGGTACCACATTAATCCCAACTAAGGGGGAAATACCTAGTCCTCCTTTGCCATACTCTGTTTGGAAAGGATAACAGTTTTATTTTGGGGGGCTATCCCTTGCCCACTCCCACCCCCCTCCCTCCCCCACTCAGGGCAGCAGTGGCGCCAGCTCAGTGCAAAATGATACGTTTTCCACTAAAGAGCGAGAACTCACATGGTATCCCTATGGAGCAGCATAGTGGGGAAATAGAAAGTACAACACAACATTATAGACACATACACACGCACTCACACACACAAGACAAACACATACACATACATACACACCCAAACAAACGTAAACATGTTACTTTCAAATTGAAACCATAACTGGACTGCCTCATATAACATGCACTGCTGCAGACTAATTTGGCACGGAGTGGTGGTGGGCATATCATCTATCCTGACCCTATTAGTCACTCTATCGTGTTGACTCCAGCCGCATGTTGGGCCCAAGTACCATAAATATCCTTAGTACCATAGATACTGACTGTAGAGCTTGGTTACATTTCTCTATGTTTTTCCTTTGTAGTGTTGGGAGATTACTAGACAGATAAAACCCCATCAACAATGTCATCCATACTTTCTATTCATGATTTTCACTGTATTTGGCAACACCTGTATCTCTCATTGTTAAATTAAGACTTAAATACCAGTATGTCCATATTTGTGACAGTACCACTTTAAAATGGTGTTATGCAAGTAACTTCAGCAAGACACTATTCATTCCTGTAGACTATGATGAATAGAGTGTTCTTTTGAATGTGTGCCAACAAACTACTTGGTGAACTTGGATGCGAGTTGCACCTCACGCTACTGCTTTTCTTTTTCATGTGGAGGTGGAGCCAAAGGTCAAACACTGTTTTCTCTGCTGGCCCCTACGGCTCGAGGGTACAGGGGGAATTTGTTAGTGAGGTGTTAACAGAGGGAGGAAGTACGAGAGGATGTGGGAGGGAAAGGGAGGAAATAAAAAAAGCAGGCAAGACGTAGGAGAGCAACTGACCGAAAGACTGACTGACAAAATGACAGATTGGCAGCGAGCATTCCTGTTGACTGATTTGTTTGTTTGACTTTTTGACTTGCAGCCCTTTTCTCATAACGAGCCTTACAGGAGCTGACATCAACCCATCCCACCTCCCTCAGCCCCTACAAACCAAACAAGACAACTTAACATCAAATAAATTATAAATTTCTCATTTTCTCTGCATAAAGCACGGGGTCTGAAAGTGTGCGCTCTTCCCTGCCTCCTCCATTTTCTCTGAGATCTGTGAGAATCCCCACCGCCCCCTTGAGATAAAGCCTGATGTGCAGTTTTGGAGGGAATGGGGATCCTTGGGGCTGCTCAGCATTACCAAAACAAACCATTCAGCAAACAAACAATTAGACACTCATGAATTATGGAAAAGCTGCTAAAATAGCGTAAAACAAGGACTAGGGACTCGTGTTGAGCTAATGAAACTTTTATTTTCTCACTCAGGCAGTAGTGTGTGTTTGTTTGTGTGTGTGTGGGGGGGAGGGGGGATACGACTCATCGAGACATTCCTGTGGACTAGTGAGAATGAATAGAACACGACAACACAACAGGACACCGATAACAGAAAATGAGACGGAGGGAGAAAAAGACGGGGGAGTGCCGACACACACAGTGCACAGCGGTGGGGCGTGCGTTTCTGTGGCGGGTGGAGGTGGTTTTCCCTCTCTAGGGAACTCCCTAGCTGTTGTTTACCTCTCGCAGACGCGCACCGTCCAGGCGGCGATGATCCAGGAGGAGATGCTGAAGACAAGCAGCACGGTGCCGGGGCAGATGGTCATGAGGGTCTTCATGACGAAGCGCGTGTTGAAGTTGATCTTGTTGAGGGCGCCAATGCTGCGCGACGAGGCGTCCGTGAAGAGCTTGCTGTGCAGCAGCATGACACGGCCGATCAGGTAGAGGCGCAGGAACATGGGGATGGAGAGGATGATGTCCACGTCGGCGTTGGCCGTCGACGGCGTGTAGGTGAAGGCAATCCGCGCCGTCCACGTGAAGCGGTAATGGCCCGGGATGGGGTGGATGGCGCACACCAGCAGCTCCAGCACGATGAAGAAGATGCGTTCGTATGTCATGGCTATCCTCCAGTCGTCAGCCCCATTGTCCACCATGAACAGCTGCGGAGGAGCACAAAATATCTTAGTTATGCACTATTTTACAGTCTTTATATACTTTCTTTTACAGTCTTTATATACTTTCTTTTACAGTCTTTATATACTTTATTTTACAGTCTTTATATACTATATTTTACAGTCTTTATATACTATACTTTACAGTCTTCATGTACTGTATTTTACAGTCCTCATTGGTCACACTTAACAGATGTGGGGTTAAAAGCATGTATTTACCAGGTAATTATATAAGCAAGTAGTTTCTTACTGCAGTGTAGGTACACATTGTTACACAGTGCTTAGCTTTATACCAGGTTTTTAGACCATACAAACTTCATTAAATATTTAATAGATGCCCCTCTTCATATTTTAAATAGTCTTAAAATAAGTACCAGAGAGTACATTGTTGAGAGTACATTGCATTGTTGTCTCACAATTTCTCAGTAAATATCATATTATAAATCAGCTCAATTAGGACGGTAAAATATCTAATATACCCAATTAAGTTGACCTGTATAAATCAACTATAATATTACGATGTATTAATAATAGGCATCATAACACTCAATACAGTAGGATAATCAAACTCAATTACACTGCATGCTATACTGCATCCGTCATTTTCGAGCAATTCGGGCAATCACCACACCACCACATAAATGACGGCATAATCAAATGGTATTTCCTGCAACATTGTTCCATTATTTCGACTCACCTGGATTTCCCGGGCATGGTACATTATTATAAGACCAAGCAATATAACAGTGGAAAGGCTGATAAGGCATTTCAGTGCAAATGAGTACGACGATTCCTGTAGTAAGAGAGAAAGATATAAACAAAACAAATTTAGAGACAGTAATATTGACGACAAATATAAATATAGAAAATATATTAATATTATATTTAGTTCTTTATTGATGATTCATGTAGAACCTATGTTGACTTTCAGAAGAGTGATCATACCTGGGCTTTGCCTAAGAACTGTAAATGTAAAAGCATTCATATAAACTGCCTAATAAATCTTCAACTAAGTCAAGCAGTCTCAAGCAGTCTTAATGGTGGGCAAAGCATGTTGATTTTAGATTTCTAGTTGGACGGAGCAAACAATACCAAATAAATCCATCTAACTTCTATCTTCCAAAAAGGTTTCCCTCTGGAGTGACTGTATTAGTAGAGAAAAATAAGCAAAACAGCTGGGGAGAGGAACACTGACAGCGCGGGCAAAAACAAACTGGTGAAAACACACCACCTATTATTAGCGTAAAACCTAACGAGAGAGCTGAGAAAAAAAAACAGCACCACAAAGTGTTGTCTCAAAACATGACAGTGGCAGAAAGTAGAGGTGAAACATTGGCTGTCTACAGTATGCTAACTACTAATTCATAAACGTCGCCACTAAGAGGGGAGAGAGGTATTTTCAATCTAATAGTAGATGCAGAAACGGCGCAGTTCTGTTGTGCATCACCTAGCATTAGCAGGACGTGACCCACAGTGAGTGGTGCAAGTGATGAATTAGTCGTTTGGATGCTAGAGCTGCAACGCATATAAAGGAATCATAGATCTTTGGAATGAGGGCCTGCACTACTCGAGCTCCCGATGTGGGTAAAAAGCAATTTGATAAATCAGCTGTAATAGTGGTGGTGAGTAAAACGTGTTATGGTAATGACGGGGGGTTGTAATCACAATTCTGACAACAGCGACAAAAACAACAACGGGAATCATCATTCATAAACGTCACTAGCGATTGTAAAAGCTGCCCATTACTCGGTTGTCAAGGCCCGCGGACGTCCAAGTCGTTGTAAATGGATATTCATATGCTCTCTTGGGGTGTGGTCAAGAAAGAATGCGTTAGAATATGAGCCATTACACTGACCATGCAGCCAACAGACATGGTAATAGGCAGAGAGCAAATTAGCGAATGTATTTTTAGCAATCAACTAAATTGCTTTGGCTCTTAGGTCTCTGGCACCTCTCAAGACATTCTAATGTCTGAAATAATTTTTGAGAAGTCCCCAGTGAAATAACATTGAGTAAACCAATTAATCCACCTGCCAGAAGTTCAAGGATTCTTCAGTCCCAAAGCTCACTCCCTTTAATGCATCCCCCCCCTCCCCCCTTAATGGCTCAGAAAACCTTGATGTCCATGTGATGTGACATGCAAGATAGAAAATGACTCATCTGTATTGTAACAAGTCTTATGTGGGAGGAGTGCCATGTCGCTCAGGGATGGGGTCAGCTCAATTTCAACTCAGGTCAACTCCGAAAATGAATCTAAATTTACTTAAAAAATGGGTTAATACCCAGCAAAGAGTGGACGTCCTAAGGAAATTAGGCGATGTTCCCATTAGGTCCCTTTAAGGGTTTTGGTTCTATGAACGTTATAGGAACATTAAAACATGATGTTAACCTAGGGACCATAAGAGGACGTTCAGTACAGGTCCGGGTTTGGTCGCAGTATAACGTAATAAGGTATTTTGATGTCCATTAGGGACGCTACGAAAAGGTTCCTATTTGGTTCTGAGAGGACGTTATCCATGGGACATTCAATGATCACAAGGGGATGTTTCATGATGGTCATGAGGACGTCGCATGTTGGTCCCAAGGGAACGTTCTCTGGGGGACCTTTGTGTAGTTCCCTTTAATTTATCAGGACGTCACTGAGGACCATGTCAGGACCATGTCAGGACCTTTTTAGGACATTCTCAGGACTTTCATTTTACTAGTATAATAATAATAAACATGTACAAGTGTGTATTAATACACTTGTTTTTTGCATATCCCAACTCTCCCTGAGACACCCTCGAATGTTGGTGGAGCATACTTTTCTGTTTTAATGTTACAGCTTTATCACTATGATAAATATAATACTTTTTCTTAAAGGTGCTCAGCGAAATGACGTTGCCACAAGCAGCACCGTAGATATTGAGATGAGAGTGATCCAAGACTTTGCTCTCACACAGTCACACACAATATCTGCGCAAAACAGCAGCCGTGAACCAAGAGATTGTGAGTTTAAATGTTGAATAATAGTTCCTGTATAAACAAAGACAAAGAGCTGTGACTGGATCAGTGGTTCACCAATCAGGTCCTTATTGGAGGACAAGGGGTGATTTGTAATGAAGCTAGGGTGACCGTGCCCTGTGTAGAACAAAAACAATTTTCAGGTCCTTATTGTAGGACAAGGGGTGATTTGTAATGAAGCTAGGGTGACCGTGCCCTGTGTAGAACAAAAACAATTTTCAGGTCCTTATTGTAGGACAAGGGGTGATTTGTAATGAAGCTAGGGTGACCGTGCCCTGTGTAGAACAAAACAATTTTCAGGTCCTTATTGTAGGACAAGGGGTGATTTGTAATGAAGCTAGGGTGACCGTGCCCTGTGTAGAACAAAAAATAATTTTTTGGGGGGGGGGGGGGTTTCTTTGCAACCATCAGGTGACGTCCCCGGGACAAACCGGGAACTAGCCAAAACCTCCAGGCGACCACTTCGTGAAGTTCTGGGGACGTCCTAACGACTTATTTTTGTTTGCAGGGTAGAAACCTTATAAACACCTATAGGCAATATTGGATTCATCAATTCAATTCAAATCAATTTACGGAATTGGCTGGACTTGACCAAAACCTTGCTGCTCTATCTTTACCTCATGCAGTTGTAAAAAAAAATACAGTAGCTGTTACAGCTATTACTTAGGCCAATCAATGCTGGCTCGTAGCATTGACTATGTGGTGACGCTAGCCAACAGTACAGCCTTGTAAACATTGGGGCCAAACCTTTCCCTAAATGCACTGTGAAAAGAATTCTGGACAGAAAGCACTGCCCAAATCCAAACTGATTGGTTGATAGAGCGAATGATAGGTCTGGGAGTCATGACCAGGCCGATGCGACCCTGAAATTACAGCAGCCTGCCGCCATGTTGGGTTGTCCTGACACTCCCATGCGCTGGTCAGGGATAATGTCCCAGCAAACAGGGGACGTCCTGAGGGCATTCGATGACCTTCCCATTAGGTCCGTTAAGGGTTTTGGCGCAACATTATGACGTTATCACATCGCGTGATGGTCCCAAGGGAATGTTCTCTGGGGGACCTTTGTCTAGTTCCCTGTAAGTTCCCAGGACGTCACTGAGGACCATGTCAGGACCTTTTTAGGAGGTTCTCAGGGCTTTCATTTTACTAGTTCTTAGGACATTGCGTGATGGTCCTAAGGGAACGTTCTCTGGATGACCTTTTTATAGTTCTCTTTTTATAGTTTTATAGTTGTCCCAGGGACGTTCTTGGGACGTTGTGTAATGGTCAGCTAGTTCCCGGTGACACAATGTCCCAAGAACTTCCTAAAATGTCCTTGTGGACGTCCCCGGGACCAACCGAGAACTAAACAAAACCTCCAGAGGACCATGACACTACGTCCCAATAACATCCTAAAGACGTCCTCGGGAACGTCCACGGGACCAACCGGGAACTATAGAGGGGACCATGGCACAATGTCCTGACGACTTTAGGCAACCAACCGGGGACGTCCTAATGACTCATTATTGTTTGCAGGGGTCAGACACTTTGAAGTAGCTCTCTCAATTGTGATTGGGCAGCATCTTGTTTGACTGCTGGCTTCAAAGAGATTCTCAGAATACCAGCAGCTGTAAGGTTCTGTATTTATTTTCTTAGTTCACCTTGTGTTCTTGAACGTAGCCCTGTTTCTTTGTGTTCTTGAACGTAGCCCTGTCTTTCATTTTTGTTCATTGATTTCACCTGTGTTAGTTACTCACCTGGTCTCATCAGCTCCTTATTTAGTTCAGTTCTTTCTGTTTGTGCCTTGTGAGGTATTGTTCATTTTGACTCTACTAAGCCTTTTCCTAGCTCATTTGTGAGAACCAGTTTTAGCCTTCAGTCCTAGTTTTTGATTCACCTGCCTGTTTGCCTACCTGTGTATGACCATTGCCTGCCGGTGACCACGATTCCTGCCTTCTGCGAAGGCGTAATAAACACCTGCCACGCTCTGCGCGTGAATCTACACCTTTTTCTCCCTGAGTATTCATTACAGCAGCAGCCTAGTGAAAACAGCCCTTTGGCTAAGCTCTGCCCTCTGATACTGCAGCAGTTGTCTATTCCAATACCAAATCAAACCATTCAAAAAGGCCATCCTCATGAATATAATGTTGAGGCAGGTTTCTTTTTTAATCACAAGAATTCTCATTCTACTTTAATACACATATCTTTATGAAGTTTACTGTGTGTTCACCATGTTTAACATTACTGCATATCTAAACATAGGATAGGAAGGTCATTCCACCGAAAGAGTATGTTTTGGGTAGTGAAGTAAAAAAAGAACAAATGTAGCCTAATTTTTACATTCTGACAAAGATGTTCAACTTAATAAAAAACATGTTTTCCCATTTCGAGACGTTAAATACAAAAAGACTATAATAAGTGCCAATGAAGTGCCAAATAATGTAACAAGGTTGATGTTTCATCTTAAATCAGCAATAAATCCCCTTGTGACAGGGGGAATGGAAGCTTTTTGTGTGCAACAAGGAGGGGCAATTGAATACAAGCCTCACCCCAAACATATTTTTGTTTATTTCTAGCCTATCTATCTATGGCATGTTATGTTACGCTTGACGCACTCAGTTTTCCACGACAAAACCCCATAAAATGGCTAAAAAGAGTAGAAACAGCTCACCTGCTTTTACACTATGATTTGACTATTATATGCTCAATGTTTCACAACGCAGACCACGTGTAACTATGCCAGCCCAGGACCTCCACATCCGGCTTCTTCACCTGCGGGATCGTCTGAGACCAGCCACCCAGACAGCTGATAAAACTGAGGAGTATTTCTGTCTGTAATAAAGCCCTTTTGTGGGTGGGCCTATACCCTCCCAGGCCCACCCATGGCTGCGCCCCTGCCCAGTCATGTGAAATTCGTAGATTAGGGCCTAATTAATATATTTCAATTGACTGATTTCCTAATATGAACTGTAACTCAGTAAAATCATTGAAATTGTTGCATGTTGCGTTTTATATTTTTGTTCAGTATACTTAAAATATCAAAGGGACCAAAACGTACTCTATACGTGGAACGACCCAAGCGTATTGGAGGTAGGCAACAAACAAAAAGACCACCCACACTAATTACCTTGCCGTAAACTCCCCAGGACAGTTCTGTCTCCGTCACCATGACGACAATCCCAAACATCCCGAAGATGAGCGCGTAGTCACTGAGTCTCTTTCGCTTCTCAAAGAGCGCCCTCCGGTGGCCGAGCCTATAGCCGATGTCCTTGTTCTTCTTCACGGGAGCACCGTTCCCGTCCCTGACCAAGCTCTCGTTGGACGCCTTACTGGGGTCCTCGCCGTTGCCCTTGGAAACCACCACCTCCAGGCCAGAGCTGTGCAGCGTCTGGAGGGGCTGTGTCTCGGAGTCGAGCTCTGCTAGGTTGCGCCGCGACGACGCCAGGCTGCCCAGTGGTTTCACTACGCCGCCATTGTACTTGCAGGTGTTCATGGCTATCTGAGGGAGTCGGCCGCTGCTCTCGGAGAGGGAGGGCTTGGATCCAGCATGGCTCAGCTTCTTTTGCTCAGTGGTTGCCTGCCGGACAAAAAGACAAGAGGATGTTAGAGAAACAGAAACCAAATTCAACAGTGCATCATTGTCTGAGGGTGGAGGAATTTCTCTCCAATCGGTCTGGTGTCAGAGAATGGGAAATTACAGTATTGTCCTCTTTTGAGGAGCACCTTTCCTTTATAACTTCAATTTGAGTAATGTCCCATGGGCTGGAGCCAGAAGCACGAACTAGAAACACTGCTCTGCACTAAATCAATGCTTAGGGATGGCAATCTCTGTGTTATGTGTTCTGCTATACAAGGCACACATATCAGCTGTCCCTCACAAAAAGTGCATCCAGATCAACAGGGCAAAAACACATGAATGGTGAATGAAGATGGATGTATAAATAAAGCCATATAACTAATAGTGGACCCTACAAAGTGCACAAAGTTTCATCTTTGCGAGGCACAAATTTCAGTATGAAAGATTAATGTGCTGAGTGACCTTGTTTCCTGTTAAATAAACACTTTTTCCTGCAGAGATGGAGTGTCCAAAAGACTGAGACTGAGTTGCTTTTCTTTAAATCAGACAAAGGGAAAACAAGGACAGTCTTCAGCCAAAGACGCATCTTCGTTTCATCTGCTTGTCAAAAACAGCATCTAAATTGAAGCGGATTCCTGCTCAGACCTTTCTGTGCTATCTTTGAACCAGAGTGTGATTGCATTGCATCACTGGTTCAAGGAGAGGCAAGAGTTAAATGGGGTGAGAAAGCAGAGGTGCAGAAAATGTACAGCATGTACAATGCTAGCTAGTAGAGTACTACACTGGCATTCCAGTGGCATCTCCACAGCTCTTCAGGGAGTTCACTCAGATTATCATAATGGCTTGTAAAACTTGACTTCACATGGAACAGTGCATTTTCCGAAATAACGGGGGTGTTTGACAACACTGCCTTTTATTTGGCTTGAGTGAGCTCCCTAATGCCTCTAGATGTTTGGAAATAAAGTCTGATTGCCCATAATGGAAATGAACTAAGTCCGGCCCAGTGATGCTATCGCCTGACACAGACCAGACTAAAGGTTCAGGATTAGAGGGGGCCAGGGTGTTCTAATCCCCTTTACTGTATTAAATAGTTTTATCATCCGCGCCATTAAGACCCCTTTTTGAAACGTATCTCAGATAGTGGCACATTCCTACTATAAACCCAGCAACAATAAAGGTTGCTTGATGGGAATTGGAAGACCTCAAACTTCATTATATATATTAGCACCTCCCTTTTCACCTAGAAAAGGTGGGACAATTACAGTTACCCAGCGACGCCTGTTTGTCATGATTCATTTCCCCAATAAAATTACCCTTCTGAGGCTGAAAATAAAACACAATGACAAAGTTTGCTTTGTTAAATGATTAAATGACAATCGATCAAAGCAAATGTACATGACTGCCTTATCAGACCAAGGGAAGTAAACAGAGAGGAACCATGACAGGTTATTCCAATAAAATAATGAACAGTATTGATGGAACGAGATGGAGAGAACTGGAGGAATACGCTTCTCCTCTTGGCTTCAGGCTCTCTTGGTGGCTGAAAACATACCACTGACTGCTGACTGACTAACTCCTAGATGGGGGTGTCCATACCATTTAGGAGACAGCACAAGAGAAATACAAGAAGGTAAGATGGAGGTACGGTAATACCTAACCTTTTTCTACAGGCAAATCTCACATGGATATCCCAAAAAAGCTCATACTGTACCATCCTCACAACACATAATCTATTCCATTTTGACATTTTAACTACTGTTCCTCTATTGTGATGCATTTCATTTAGGTAAATTTCCATGCATTTCAGTTAATTGTATTTGACTTCCATAGAATAAATAAAAAGTGTGATGCATGTAATAAATAAAACCACACCCGGCTCTTTGCCATGCAGAGCGTGCTCTCTCCCGTTTCCCATCCCGACAAAAAGTGTGGGTCCCAAATAGTTCATTACCCTATATAGTGCTCTATGGGCCCTGGTCAAAAGTAGTGCAATATATAAGGAATAGGATGCCATTTGGGACATGAAGGGCACAACAGGCCGCGGTTGCCCTTGTCCGCTGATCCTCCTTCAGAACGAGACATGGGGTAGTTGTCTGTCCCGGCGAACGCTTCAATTTCATTCTGAATGGCACACAGCATCCAGCCCGTATGAAATGGAGCCTCTTAATCAAATTGAAAAGCCACAGCGCAGAACTGTTTAAATGAAGCACTGCAACTCTCTGCCTCTCCTCCTCTAACTCCCCCCCTCCTTCACTCCCCTCTCCAGCCGGCTCCAATCTAATAGAATACCCTCCTTTTGGACTTGGAGCTACTTCACCGCAGTTTTGAATGCACACACAAGCCCTTGAAATTGAAATAGTGCACTGTACAGTCAGCCCGTGTGTGTGTGTGTGTGTGTGTGGGGGGGGGGGGTCTAATGTATTTGATACCATTCCACTAATTCTGCTCCAGCCATTACCACGAGCCCGTTCTCCCCAATTAAGGTGCCACCAACCTCTTGTGGTGTGCATGCATGTGTGTGTGTATGTGTGTGTGTGTGTTTGTGTGTTCATGCGTGCATGAAAGCCTCGGCCAAGCATCAGACCAGGCCTGAGACTAACGCAGAAACAGACGGTCTGCAGCCATGGATAACTAAAGAACCCAACTGAAAAATGGTGGGGAGAGTGCCTGCCTGCCAGCCAGCCTGTACGCCTGCATACTTGCCTGCCTGTGTGTCTGCCTGTGTTTATTCGGACATGAGGCGCATGTGTGAAGGAGAGCCGACTCACGGAGGGAGAAAACAGAGGGAGACAAGGTGGGAGGGAGAGAGGGGGAGTGAGGAAAAGAGAGAAAGACAGGACAGACCCCTGGGGACGTCCCCAGCCTGCTCCTGTTGAGACAAAGAGCTGTAGGCTATAGCTGCCGGATTGTCACGTTGCACAGACACTGTCATATTTCTGTGACAGGCCAGCAGGCACCAGGGCTGGGCTGTCCAACCCGACCAAGAGCACCAGCCAGGATCTCAGTACGTCTAATTAGTGAAAATGTAATACACCACCACCTATTCAGATTATGCCTGTCTATCTGGCCTTTTCAGCAAATGTTCTAAGGAAAGATCTAAATGTACTTTGATACAGTAAAACTACAACGTTTCAATGTAAACACTGTCACGAATTACTTATAGAATCCTTGCTGTATACTATATAGTATACACAGTAAACAGTATAAACTCACTGTATACTGATATATGTTTAGTCTTTCTAAGGCAGTACAAGAGGTGTTTTCCTCAGTGGAATCAGTATGGGCCGTCCTTTGAGAAAAGCCTGTGGTGAACATTACTGCAGTTTGATAACAGGCACAATTACAAGCTTCCTGAAGCAGCATTATCATCCCCCTCTCTTCCTCGGAGATGAAAAAAAAAAATAATTATGGCTTAAACAAGACAAAACCCCCCACGGAGACGACAAGACAGGTATTTTGCCTGTGTTGAATGGTCATTGTTAGGGCTAATAATGCACTAGGCATTCAATAGCATCACAATAGTGCTCTAATTAGGACGCACCAAGGTGTCACAGTAGACACAGAGAATAATACTGTGATCAGAGTGATATAACTAAAGGGTTTGGGACTCTCTTGGGAGAACTATAGGACCTCATTAGTAGCATGTTTTACTTGTTCAATTCCAGACAATTCAGAGAATGAATTGGAATTCTGTTCTTGGTTTCAAAAATTGTCCATAGAGCTCATTGAAATTGTACTAAATTCCAGAATTTGCTAGAATTGATAGTTGACTTGACTCCCTGAACGTGTTCAGTGCGTAAGTCGATTGCAGAATGTAAATGTAAACATAGATAATGGTAGCGCGTACTACCCGCGTATTAGTACATACAGATGTAGGATCTTAATTTGAGCCAGTTTGCTACAGCAAAGAAAATGTGAATTATTATGTGGATTATAATTGATGGACATTTTTGTAAGGGTTGATACATTTTTCGTGAGGGAAAATCAAGTCCAACATTTCTACGTGGAAATTACAAACCTCAAATATACTACAACAGGGTGATCAAATAGAGATTCTTCATCTGTACACTACGACTTTTCTGTAATGCCTTAGACCACTGCTCCACTCAGGAGGCCCCTATACATACATATTTAAAACAACAACAATACAATACAAAGACAATATGAATGGCCGCTCCCATCAGTGGGTGCTCTGATCAGTGGGTGTGCTCGCCCCCACCCGCCCCGAGACGCCAGCAAGGCGAAGCTCCCGCCCCCAGCCCAAAGGGATTTTCCAAAGGGGGAAGGACCAAGCCCCGGCCGACGCCCGGGCGGGTGTGAAAGCGAGCGCACCAGCATACACACTGCTCAATAACAAACACAAAACATACAATAATCACATTCCCACTCTCGCCCCTGACTAGAGGACCTCAAACATTTATACTGTGCATGTATTTATTCCCACACTCATTAATTCCAACCTTCAGACAGCCACAGATCAACCCATCTTTCCCAGTAAGTCATCATTCTACCATTTCCTTCTGAAATACATCCCTCCAGTCTACCATGGTGTCTCATTAGGGACTTGAACCTCCCCATCCGCAACATTTATGCAGAAATTGCCCCCAAAATAAAACATTTACCCAAGAGCACAATTATATTTCCTATTGACTGACTGTGGTCATTCAAATCCACCAACAATACAGTTTTCAGGTCCAACTGCGCCCTGCTATGTAAGGGATAAATGCAGATGTTCTGTACATTACCTTGGAAATAATGGGCAACTCAGCAGGATTTTACTGGAATTGTTGAATACCCGTTTCTGATTGGCTAATAGGGCATTCTAGAATGGACATTAAAACCAGATAACGAGACAGTTGGAAAAGATATTGGGACAGTTGGAAAATATCAAATCAAATCAAATCAAATTGTATTGGTCACATGCGCCGAATACAACAGGTGCAGACATTACAGTGAAATGCTTACTTACAGCCCTTAACCAACAGTGCATTTATTTTAAA